ACCAAGATGGTGAAAGGTCTCAAGGGCAAGACTTATGAGGGGTGGCTGAAGTCACTTGGCTTGTTCAGCTTGGAGAAGAGAAGGCTGAGTGGGGACCTTGTCACAGTCTACAACTTTGTCAAGAGGAGCAGTGGAGGGGAAGGTGCTGATCTCTGTCTGGTGACCAGTGATAGGACATGAAAAAATGGAATGAAACTACATCAGGGGAATTTCAGATTGAACATTAGGAAAAGGTTCTTCACTGAGAGGGCAGTTGGTCACTAGAACAGACTCTCCAGAGAAATGGTCATGGCACAAAGCCTGTCAGAGTTCAAGGAGCATCTGGATGATATGGTTTAGTTTTAGGTAGTCCTGTGAGGAGCAGGAAGTTGGACTTGATGATCCTTATGGGTCCCTTCCAACTTGAGATATTCTATGATTCGAACTAAAATAATACTCAAAGTTTACTTATTGATTTGAGCTTGCGCTTTTAGAACCTTGTTAAGATATGGGAAAAATACAGACTTTAAACTTGTATGAAACTAAAGGCTTCTGACTTTTAACCAGGAGCAACAGTTGGCAGCTCTGTAATAAAGTAGGTAATGGTAAATATTCTTACTAAATGTAATATTGTAAAGTAAGAGGAATTAAAAAAACCAAAGCAATAAACAAAAAAAACCCCTATTTGACAGGTTAGGTCATAAATGGCAAATGGTACTAGTCGTAAACATCTTTCTATGTGATGCAAGAAGCTATTGTTTCTAGACAGCTACTGTCAGATTCAGAGAAAGAAGAGTAAATCATGAAAAGGAGGTTTCTGCCATTTATTCAAGCAATGAACAAAATGAGAAAGGGGGAAGGGAGGGAGACGACTGGCTAAATCATATCAGTCTTTTAGCAGACAGTATTCACTGCACTATTTTAATCCACCACAATCTTAAATCCTGTTGTAGGAAAACTAAAAATATTTTAACAACTACTAAACCCCAGTGCTGTTTGAAAGAGATACTTGACTTAATCTCCCTTTGCTCCTACATACCATAACTGTATTGAAATTTATACTGAACAGAGAGGACTTTGAGCTGTAAAAATATATAACAAAGGGTTCTGAAGAGGAACTTCCAGAAACAGTTTTAAAGATTTTTAAAAAGCTGCCTGCAAAATTGTTTTAAAGGAGTCCAAGGAACTGCTGACTAAATGTGCAAGGAGATGTCAAATTATTTTCAGTTTTATGGAAGTAACAAAATACATATAAGAAGACATTGAACTATTCCCATAACTTGTTTATGATCTGTCAACTCATAGAAAAGATATGAATGTAATTACCAGTGATTGAATGAAACCCTTCACTTATGCAGTGGTAGTAAAAGAAAAATGTGATAGAGGATAGAATATACTATCATAGGATATCTTGTTCTCATTTGAATAAAATTGCAGCTCTAATTGCTAATCTTCCTCAAATGTGAGAACTGCAGGCATTCATATAGGCCATAAAAGGGACCTGTGGGTGTTGGAAAACCTCACAGGAATGTTTAAAATGGGTGGATTTTTGGTTTGTTGTTTTTATTTTTGTTTGGGCTTTCTTTATACTTTGGAAGGGAGATTGCCTTGTGAATATATGACTGTTGCCGAAACTGAAACCAGTACACCGTTGAAAGAAGTAGCCAACAGAACGAGAAGCTGAGAGACAGGAAAGAGAAGGGAAACAAGCCCCCAAGACAACCCCCCACCCAGGCGTTATTTATGAGGTTGTCTTACCAACCCCAGGATGCTTAGAATTCCCCATAGCAGAAGCTGCATCCCCGGAGTGTCGTCAGGCTCACATGATAACGGGCATCCCCGCCAAGGCAACGTTGTCCTCCATGTGAAGCTTGAGTACCTCTCCCATCAAGAGCTATCTGCTTTTTATACAATTAACCTATGACATCTACCTGGGCAGGTGTGGCCAGCACCGCCCAACTAGAGGCCTTCGGTCCCTTCCCCCATTATGTAAGTGGTGCCCCTTCTGCACATGCGTGTGTACATTGGAATTTCCCCACGCTTGCGTGCTACACCTCAGGGGGTCTTTTCTAAATGAGTCTGGGGGCTTACTTCATTATCCTCCTCTTCACTTTCTCCTTCAAATGTCCTTGGAGGGCCGTTGGCCAATAGTGAGGCCCCAATTAATTTCAGTTTATACAAGATGCTTCCTTCAAGGACGAAGTTCTTGTTTATCAGTGCTTGTTTTCACATAACTTGGCAGAAAAAGAACAGACTCTCATAGGTGGCTGGGCCAACACACAGACCAAAGGGAGCAGCTTCTAATTAAGCATGAATACAATGACAAAATTATTATTTTATGAAAAGTGAAGGAAAACTTTTGGTTTTCTCTCTATAAGACTTTTACTGAAAATGAAGAATGTGAAATTATTTAAAAAACTCATGAAGTGTTTCTGCCTTTTTGGAGGTTCCTCCTTCTCCTTAAAGTATGCTCAACACTACCATAAAGTGTGCCCCAGTGGATCAGACCAATGGTTCATCTTGTCCAATTGCAGTAGGAGAAACTATCTAGGGAAAACAGGCCAGCCTTGTCACTGTTTGCAGTCTCATGCTTTTGTCTTCCCCCAGTATCCAGAATTATATTTGCATTATTAGAAGTACAACTCTGTCTAGTCCTAATAAATATCCATTATCCATTTATAGATGGAATAAGACATGCACAATAAAAACAGCAGTATTGTTAGCAAAAATATACAAAAAGAGAAGGTGTTTTATCCACAAAAAGGTGTTCACCACCAGGAACAAAAACAAGATGGCAGACGCTCCCTGTAGGCCGCAACTGCGTGGTTTCCCCAAACAAAGGCAATATGGCAACCATTCCTGTGTGCTACCCACATGGCTGCTGGAAACAAAGGCAGGATGGACAAGGAGCTCCCATGGCTAATGTTTCCCACCCCCCAACCTGAAAACAATGAAAAAACAATGAGAAATGACCCCCCCAAAAGCTAGGTCATCTGAGTAGGGTCGCACAGCTGCTCCATTGGGCTCAGTTCTTCACAGGTGCCTGTGACGCTGTTTCTACCCCTCTGCTGTACTGGAAGTCAATCCCACGGGTCATTGTTGCTTTTTTCCTACCACTCAACTGCTCTTCTTTTGGCTCAGTTCAGCTGGGTTCGGCAGGGCTCCTTTCCTCTTGGTCAACGTGCTTGACTGGGTTGGGATCACCCTTGTGGCCAGTCCGTTCCCTGCCAGCAGACTCCCCACCGACGCTGTTGGTTCTGCACTATGGTTGATTCGCATTTTCGCCACTGTCCCTTTCAGCACCACGTCCAGTAGCCATGTAGCAGAGAAAATGGGAGGTGGACTGGCAGGGCGACAGAGGGACTGAGTCCGCAGGGGTTGATCCTGACAGTGCGTCCGTCCGCTGGAGAGAGAGAGAAAGGCATAATGACTGACTTCCGGTGGGGTGCCTGGCTTTTCCTCCTGAAACCACGCCCCCCAGCAATGACAGGGGTGGTATAGAATAACAACCTGGTCACACCCACACAGCACTAAACTTCACTCCCTCTCTGCAACCAGGACACAGCAGCAGCATATGCATGAACTGCTCCAGGACAATTGACTTGTGCTTTTGGAGCTGCATGTGGCCCTTGGACTCCTGGGGGGGGCTCAGGGTGGGTGCTGAAGTGTGGTCTCTGGGGGGTGGCTCAGGGGTGGCAGACAGATGGGACTTGTTGGTGTTGGAGGAGTGGATTTACCTGACAGTACTGCGGGAGGAGGTGCAAACTATAGTGTGTGGATTTGAGAATTACCAGACAGCACTCATCCTGCAGAGCTGCTGGGGAACTGTGTCAGTGCACGGACACGTGCCCAGGCGAGCTTGGTAGGACTGAGGGTGGCCTGGTAGAGACACTTGCGGGAGTCTCTGTGAGTTTGTGTGGACTGCAGGCCACAAGCTACAAACAAGTTAAAATTCTATGGTTTTCAGGGAGTTCATGAAAGGATTAAGTACAGTTGCAATGAAAATACTTCTTACTGGGTGTATAAAACTTTACATTTCCATTTTTTTTCTTTGGGGAGATAGCAAAACATTATTTAAGTTTCTTTTTTTACTGTATCACCTGTGTTTCCCTCTCAAATGAGATGGAGTAAGGGGTTGTTTGTTTGTGCCATGACTCATTAAAGTAGGGTATTAGAGGAGCAGTCACATTGGACTCGTGTTCTTTAGAAATTCCAGTACTTGGTATTCTTAGGGCAAAGCACAGATGTGAAATCAATGTGACATGCACCTTTGTGTCAGTGCACGGTTGCTCTGCTCTTCCAGTTGCTCCTTGCTATGACATGTAGGAAATAGGATAAAATATGACAGATGGCATTTAAAAATGCAGTACACTATATATTTGAGAAGGAAAATCCTTATTCCTACTGAAAGTTTACTGGTTTTATTGTACTTTAGGAGGACTTTCTGGCTTTGGATATTTCACCGAAGAAGTCATAGCAATGGCACCTTAATTCCAGTTTAACAGTCTCTGTTAATAATTGTTTTTAAAACAATGATTTGTATTGAATTGCAGGCAATTTAATTTTAGTTGAATTACCAGCTCATTGAATGCCATCAAGAAATGGATATCAGAATACAATTTCAGGGGACTTCTCTCCTGTGTCAGGATGTTTAATGTTGTATCAACCTTGAAGGGAGACAAACAAGCCTTTGTGAAGTGCACCTCAGGAATCATTCCCACCCAAGGGAGACTCAGAAAAGAGAGTCCAAGTCGTGTGGCTTTCACATGGTATTTTATTTACTTGCCACTCAGTTTTTTGTTCATTAGGTTTTTCACTTGTACACTGTGAGAGCCTCTGTTAGTGGATCAAATCTGAGCCATTTTACAGTATGTGGCCAGGAATTGTCTTCTATTTATCACTTTTTTTTTTTTTTAAACCTCCTTCTTTCTGCTTCTATCTGCATTTCTCAGATCAGGGATTAAAGTAACTTCTGGAAAAATTTTCCATCTATTAATTCATCATTTGTGTTTTCTTTCTAGGCCGAATTCACCAAGCTATGGTAACATCCCTAAATGAAGATAATGAAAGCGTAACTGTTGAATGGATTGAAAATGGAGATACTAAAGGCAAAGAGGTAAACATAATTATTTTAGAACTTTTCTCTTTGAAAAATGGGTAATCTGCATGAATTATGCTTTGGAATTTGACCTGGAAACAAAGAGAAAATATAAATCTTAATTTATGTGATGATTCTTTGGTTACAGACTGTTTTGAATGGGAGTTATTGGGCAAATGCTGGTTTCTGTTGTATTACATTTGACTTTCTGAGCTCTTTGTCATAACTTTTAAATAATGTTTTTCATCTTTTGATTTTGAAACATATTACAAAGGCTGACCTTGTTACCCCTTTTTGAAAGTAGAAAAATCAAATTTTTGAGAGGGAGAATGACTTGCAGTTCAGACAGGAGACCAGTGGGAGCTGGATTAGAAATCTTTTTATGTTTGTATTATTGAGGGATTGAACTGCTAGTTTGTTTGTTTTAGGCAATAATTTTACAGCCCTGCCTTCCTTAAGAAACTGTGTCTGTGTTTGTCTCAGTTATGCTTTGCTGTCCCCTCTTCCTGTAAATTTTGGATCATGTTAGCCAGTTTCAGCTGAGATTTGGAGAAGCAGCTCAGAAATAATTGCATTTCACCAGTTTTGTGAAAACATGGGGAAAAGGAAAAAAAAAGGTTGTGAGAATGTCCTGGTGATCTCATCAACTGAACTCATCCCGCTGGACACAGAATCTGTAGAGTAGTGAGGTCTTTGAAAGGTCCAACCAAAGGAAATGGCAGTCTATTGAGACCAAAGCTATTTAAGATTTTTAGGAAACTGGGTTTCAATAGTTCTGAAGCCAGTTATTTTTAAGTTCCTGTCCTTCTCCCCCTTACATTTTGCAGCTTTTTGAATGAAGAACATTTATAAGGGAAAAAATAGAATGATAAATTTGACATGGTTTCAACTGTGCTGTTATTTTTTTGGGTGATCGTAATTCATCTGTTTCTTTTGCACTGTCTGGGAAATTTCAAATAACTGAGATCTCTTTCTTTTTATGTTAAAAAATGTCTTTCATATTCTGCAGTAATTGACAAATTACCACAGTAATACTAGCTACTTCTGTTTTAATTTAATCACTTTACAGAATTATGAATACTTTTTGGTGTCACATCCCACTCCTAAGAGGAAGGGAGCACCCAAGATTCATAGATGCCTGTGGTCGAAAAGGAATGGCAAAAACCAGAAGGGTCCAAAAAAACCTACAAAGTTTTATTATCAAATCATACACTTGGCATGGAAATTGATATAAGTTTTGCCCTTATTTTCTAGTAGTAAGAGAAAGAAAAGAATAAAAGAAAAGAGGGAAGAGAAAAAGACAGAGATAGTGTGAAAGAGAGATGAGGTAGGAGAGGAAAGGAGATCACCAGTCCTGGTTCCAGCATCAATCCAGCTGATGGGGTGTCCAGGATCCTGGGGGCACCACCTGGGCTTTGTGGGGGTACCTTTTTATAGGTAAGTTTTCCCTGCCCTCAGATTAGGTTTCTTGCTCTCCATGTCAATGAGTTAACATGCGCAGTCCATTCTTCTAGACCTTTCTGGAAATGGGTTGGGGGGCTTTGAGTGTCTTTGGTGGTCTTGACCCCACTTCTGTGCTTGCACTGTCCTTTATGTTGTGCAGTCACTGTGGACAAGAACAGGGACGTGGGCCTCAAAAAGGTGCTACCCTACCTTCCTACAGCCCCCCTCTCCAGCTACATCCTGTTCTAACTTGCCTGCTTGCACAGTTATTGGTGTTTGAAACATAGCAGCACATTAACTCCTTGTTGTCCAGGCTTCTAGCTTCTACAATTGGTTATTTTTAATTAATCTCTTTTCTGAAGGATGTGTTTTCAACTTATATGAAGACCAAAGCTTACACTGTTTTTAGTGAATATAAAATAAGATCATTCTGGTTATAGAATTAACAAATTGTGGGGTAAAAACACTAAATAAACACTTTATTGTTTATTCTCAAAAGTATCAGGAGAAATGGAGAGGGTGAATATTGTTCTAAGACTCATAAATGCATTTTATATTCTTTTACACAGATTGACTTGGAGAGCATATTTTCACTTAACCCATATCTTGCACCTGATGAAGATATTGAACCTAGTCCAGAGACACCACCACCACCTACTCCAGCAGCCAAAGTAAACAAAATTGTGAAGGTTGGTAATACCTATGCAACATGTCCATATTAAACTTTCAGTACTCCTATACATGTTGTTATGCTTGAATATTTAAATCTAACTGTTGTGTCTGTGGAGCTACTTGATAACTGTGTTGCTTTCTTTTTCCTATGATGAACAGGGGTTTCTAAAAATTTTCTAAGAAGAGGTTTAGCAGACAGGGAGTTGGGGACTAATATTTATATAACTAAATGTATCTCAAGGAAAAATATAGAAAACGTTTTGGAGGTTGTTTTGAAACCATACATATAGTGCAAGCAGTCTTCACCCTGGGCTCTTCGGGGAAGGATTTGGCAGCAATCACCTCTCTGTATTTCTGATGTCATGTTATTTTTATTAACTGGAAATAAGTGAAAGGCTGCAGTTTACCTTTTCAATAATAAGGTGATCAAATAACAGATTTCTTTCTTTACAGAGTCGACGAACTGTGGCACCTATTAAGAACGACACTCCTGCCAGAGATAACAGAGGTATATGTTATGTCTTTCCCTTTTAAGGAAGGTAAATATATGGGAACATTTTAATCTCCTGATCATATAACATTTCTTAATAGTTCTGCATTTCTAATTCTAACCCTACGGGTTATTTCTCACTCTATGTTTAAATAGCGAAAAAGCTACAAAAATGCTGAAATATCACAGAATGACAGGTGAAAAGTTTGTATCGGATGAATATAGATGTAATGTATCTAATAACAGGAGAAAGAATAGTTATTGCTCGTTGTTTTTATTTTCTCTCCTGCATTAAAATTAACTCTGTAAGACTCGATATGTATGCAGGTAACCAGAGAGCTAAGCCACAGCTAGAACACTGAGGAAAGTTTAATTCAAAATCGGAAAAAACACACACGGAAACCGGGTCTCCTGTTTTACATATCAAAGGCCTGATATATACACAGATGCCCACTAGGCTGTTCTTTTACAGTTCTAACTTTCTCTTATCTCCCTTCCCCCCAAGCCTGTGGGAAAGAATGCTTTGAAATTTCAAACAATCTGCAATTATCTTCCTTAATAGAAACTTCCTTCTGTTTGAGCAAAAACAGCCCAAGGGAAAGACAGAATGTTACAGTTCTCACACTGTACCTCTCCCAGACTTAACCTTCCAGGTGCGGAAGGTCTCTTGAGCAAAGAAAATCCTTAAACAGTTCACCCTTCCTCCTCGTCCAAAATCTTCCGTTTGTGACCCCTGCTTCCCCACAGCTCATACTGATGGTGGTGATGATTCTTCTTCCAAACATTAATCTACTGACATTAATTCAGGTTAGATTCCATTCTATCTGTTTAAACTTGAGAAACAAGTGGGCTTGCACATCTTTTCAAGTGTTCAGACTTCTGGTGGATGATTGGGATCACTTTCTTCTGCCATTTGCCTCTGGGGGTGTTAATTCAGAAACCTCATGAAGAGGGTGTTTTTTTTCAAACTTATATCATTTAAATTTGATATATCTTCTCAATGGGCTCTCCTCACATCCATCATTTGTAGTAAATGTTCTGTTTTTTATGGAATAACCCCATAGCTTGTATTTTAATAGGTCCTATGCATCTTACTATTCACAGTTGACCTAAGTATTTGTTGGCCTTATAATTAAACTTTTCTCAGCACACTGTCTTGTTTAGTGTAGTTAATTCATGCTATAAACTAGATCTCCTATCATATTTTGAATGATCTGGGGATTTGTTTTGTCTATCCCATTTGATACCTGATTCCATAGTTTTCTCCATGTTGCACAGTGTGCCGGTCTTCATTTGGAATGTCATCTCTAGGCTACTAATCAAAAGTGTTACCTTCACTTTCATACTCTTCTGGCAGACTTGTTAGGAACGTGTACAGGAAAACGACCATCTGAAGCAGAGCTGCTGGAAGCAACTCTTTGAAAAACAAAACATTCAGTTCTACCAAAGAGGCTAGCATGCATGCCACTCCCACTGCATTCAGTGGGAAAAGACATCATTCTGCATCTTCAGAAATTGGAATCCTTATCACATATCATAGAATCAATAAGTTTAGCTTTCCAGTATAATGTCAAAAAGGCTTGTTTATTCCACTTATAGACTGAGCTGCACTTTGCTGCCTTTCATTTGTATCCCTCTACTCATCTGCAAATTGTAGGTTCAATGAGGTGGGACCATTTTGTAACATCTAGAGAATGTGAAACAGTGGGTCCTTTTTTTCTACTGTGCTTTTATGTATAATTACGATATAAATAAAATTTCAACACTTTAAACTTCAAAACTGCATATCTCCAAGTACATAATTCATTCTATTCACATAATAAGTTCTATTAATTCTGTAGTGGAGTATTTAAAAATATGCACATGCAGCATCGATACTTAATAATTGTGTTGGTGTATAACACTAGGATAAAAGAAGCTACATACTGAATGTCTTTATTAATGCTTTCTACATGTATGGCTCTCTCCTCCCTCCCCCCAATAAATTGTTGCGTTTTGAAAGGGGCCTCTTCTGATTTTGTCATAAAGTATTTCAGAATCAGATAGAAATGTTACTCTTCCATATCTAGATGAGCTTTGTGCTTTTCATTTGCAGTGGTTGGTTCTGCACGCACGCGTCCTACTCAGCTTCCTGAACAGTCTTCCTCCTCTCAACAGAATGGTAGTGTTTCAGATATATCTCCAGTTCAAGCCGCAAAAAAGGAATTTGGACCCCCCTGTATGTAAACCGTGTATCAAGGATTCATTCGTTCTGGGCATTACATGTACATATTTTTCAATTATGTTGTTGTCCATAAATGACAGATGTTCTATATATGCAGTTGCCTGTAGGCTTCCTCAAAAAGCTTTTTCAGAGTGCTGTGGCTAAACAACTGTTCACTTTTGTCATATTTGTTCTTTCTAGTATTTGGAATTTATTTTTCCTTATCTCTTTTTAACCATGACAGTGGTTTTTCAATGCACCTGGGCTTTCTTTCAATTCAAACCAAGAGATCACATGTATCCAAATATCATCATACATCCAAATATTTTTTGAGGGTCATTGTCACATTTTCAGCTGTGTAATTATTGTCCCATTCCTATGATTGTTTTGCATTCATTTAGTCTATACATTTTAGAAATTAAATTGCTGTTATTATTTTGTACTATTACTGATTTGCTTGAAAAGATAGTTGATATAAATAAATGCATTCTAATCATTCATAAATTAGGAGAATTGAAATGTCATAGTGTAAATACTAAATTCATGCAACATTAAAAATATTTTAAAATGATATAATTTTCTTTAAGCACGTAGAAAATCTAATTGTGTAAAAGAAGTTGAAAAACTGCAAGAGAAACGTGAAAAAAGAAGGTTACAGCAGCAGGAACTTAGAGAAAAAAGAGCTCAGGTTAGTATTTTTAGCTCAGATGGAAAATGTATATCAGGAAAAGAAGTTGTTTGCAAAATGATGTGCTTTTTTCAGTCTTCAACCTGAAATGCTTTTATACTGTATACAGTTTTGATAAGTATTTTGGTGCATGGTTGCATTGCTTTGATAACTATTTCTTTAGGCAGTTTTCTCCCTCTTTTTTTCCTACAGAAATAATTGCTTACAATTTCTTATCATTCCGTGTGTTATTTAAAAATCAAGTCCTGATGATAGTTATTGCTTAAGGAAAATATATTTATGAAAATAATCAAATATTTGGCTTTTATATAGGGCTGTTATTCTGTAGGAGGTATTAATAGAATCATGGAATGGTTAAGGTTGGAAAAGGCCTCTAAGATCATAGAGTCCAAGTGTCAATCCAGCACCACTGTGTTCACCACTAAACCATGTCCCCAAGTGCCACATTCACATGTTTTTTGAACACTTCCAGGAATGGTGATTCCAATAATTCCCTGGGCAACCTGTTCCAATGCTCAACAACCCTTTCCATGAAGAAATGTTTTGAGGCCACTTCCTCTCATCTTGTCACTTATTACCTGGGAGAAGAGGCCGACCCCCACCTCACCACAACCTCTTTTCATGTATTTGTAGAGTGAGAAGGCCCCCCCTGAGCCTCCTTTTCTCCAGACTGAGCCCCCCCCGCTCCCTCAGCTGCTTGTCATCAGACTTGTCCTCCAGACCCTTCCCCAGCTCCATCGCCATTCCCTGGACATGCTCCAGCACCTCAATGTCTTTCTTGTCATGAGGGGCCCAAAACTGAAGCCAGGATTTGAGATGCAGCCTCAGCAGTGCCCAGCACAAGGGGAGGTCACTGCTGGCCACACTATTGCTGACACAAGCCAGGATGCCATTTGCCTTCTTGGACACCTGGGCTCATGTTCAACTGCTGTTGACCAGCACCCCCATGTCCTTTTCACAGAATCACAGAATGGTTAATGTTGGAAGGGACCACAGTGGGGTCATCTAGTCCAACCTCCCTGCTCAAGCAGGGTCATCCTAGAGCACATTGTACAGGATTGCATCCAGGAGGTTCTTTAATATTTCCAGTGAGGGAGACTCCACAATCTCTCTGGGCAACCTGTTCCAGTGTGCGATCAACTGCACAGTAAAGAAGTTCTTCCTCATATTCAGGTGGAACTTCCCGTGCATCAGTTTCTGTCCATTGCCTCTTGTCCTATTGCTTGGCACCACCAAGAAGAGCCTGGCTCCATCCTCTTGAAACACTCCCTTTAGATACTGATATACATTAATGAGGTCCCTCTTAGTCGTCTGTTCTTGAAGCTGAACAGGCCCAGCTCCCTTAGCCTTTCCTTGTAAGAGAGATGCCCCAGTCCCCTAATAATCTTTGTCGCCCTCCGCTGGGCCCACTCCAGGAGCTCCATGTCTCGTACTGAGTAGCTCAGAACTGGACACAGTACTCCAGATGCAGCCTCACTAGAGCTGATGACACCAAGCTGAGTGGTGCAGTTGATACACCTGAGGGATGGGATGCCATCCAGGTGGACCTAGAAAAGCTCGAGAAGTGGGCCCATGGGAATCTCATGCAATTTAACAAGACCAAGTGCAAGGTGCTGCACCTGGTCGGGGCAACCCCCGGTATCAATACAGACTTGGGGATGAACAGATTGAGAGGAACCCTGCCAAGAAGAACTTGGGGGTGCTGGTGTATGTATGAGAGGCTGGACATGAACCGGTAATGTGCGCTTGCAGCCCAGAAAGCCAACCGTGTTCTGGGCTGCATCAGAAGCATGACCAACAAATCAAGGGAGGTGATTCTGCCCCTCTGCTCTGGTGAGGCCCCACCTGGAATAACGCATCCAGCTCTGAGGTCCCCAGTACAGGAAGGACATCAATCTGTTGGAGTGAGTCCAGAGAAGGGCTGCCAAGTTGATTAGAAGGATGGAGCACCTATCCTATGAGGAAAGGCTGAGAGAGTTGGGATTGTTCAATCTGCAAAAGAGAAGGCTTTGGGGTAACCTAATTGTGGCCTTCCAGTACCTGAAGGGAGCCTATAAGAAAGATGGAGAAAGACTATTTACAAGGGCATGCGGTGACAGGGCAAGGGGGAATGGCTTCAAACTGAAAGAGGGTACATTTAGATTAGATATTAGAAAGAAATTTTTGACTGTGAGGGTGGTAAGGCACTGGCACAGGTTTCCCTGAGAAGTTGTGGATGCCCCATCCCTGGAAGTGTTCAAGGCCAGGTCAGATGGAGCTCTGAGCTGGCAAAAGGTCTAGCAAAAGGTGTCCCTGCCTGTGTCGAGGGGCTTGGAACTAGATGACCTTTAAGGTCCCTTCCAACCCAGGTCATTTTATGATTCTACGATTCTATGAGTAGAGGGGCAGGATCACCTCCCACAACCTGCTGGCAATGTTCTTCCCAATGCACTCCAGGATACCATAGGCCTTCTTGTCGCTGTTGAGACGGCCAAAGCAACACAGAAACAGTCTTCTTCCAAAAATAGGACAGGAGAGGGATAGATAGATCCTTTATTGTAACAGATCACTGACATTTATAGTCATTGGCACAAAATACATGTTACACTGTAATTGGTGCTTTTATATACACATACTTCAAGATTGGCTGCAAAACAGCAGTCATGATGATACTGCATCTGCAGACTCATAGTGACTTTGCAGAAAGTTCAGGATATCTGATTTTGTAATCCTGTCTTCCTTCCGACAGACCTGTTGTCAACTCCGACACCTTCTTGGCCACAAGGACATACTTCTGGCTCGTGGACAGCCTGTTGTCCACCAGGACCCCCAGGTCTTACTCCATAAAGCTGCTTTCCAGCAGGTTGGCCCCCAACCTGTACTGATGCATGGGGTTATTCTTCCCCAGGTACAGGAACCTTCATTTGCCTTTGTTGAACTTCAGACAGTTCCTCTCTGTCCATGTCTCCAATCTGTCAAGGTCCTTCTGAAGGGTTGCACAGCACTCTGGGATATCGACCACTGCTCCCAGCTTTCTGTCATCAGCAAACTTGCTGAGGAGGCACTCTGCTCCTTCATCCAAGTCATTGATGAATAAGTTAAACAATACTGGGCCCACTATTGAACCTTGGGGGACACCACCAGTGACAGGCCTACAACTAGACCCTGTGCCACTGATTATGACCCTCTGGGATCTGCTGTTCAGCCAGTTCTCAATCCACTTCACCATCCACTCATCCAGTCCACACTTCCTGAGTTTATCGATGAGGATATTGTAAGAGACAGTGTCAAAAGTCTTGCTGAAGTCCAGGTAGACAATAGCCACTGCTCTCCATCCATCCAGGTAGTTGTCTCATCATAGAAGGCTATCAGGTTGGTCAAACATGACTTACCTTTAGTGAATCCATGTTGACTACTCCTTATCACCTTCTTGTTCTCCATGTGGATAGAGATGGCCTCCAAAAGGATGTCCTCCATCACCTTTCCAGGGATTGAGGTAAGGCTTACTGGTCAGTAGTTCCCTGGGTCCTTCTTGCCCTTTTTGAAGAATGGGGTTACATTTGCTGTCTTCCAGTCCTCAGGCACCTGTCCTGATCACCACGACCTTTCAAAGATCATTGTGAGTGGCCTTGCTATGGTGTCTGCCAACTCTTTCAGGATGCGTGGATGCATCCCATCAGGGCCCATGGACTTGTGAATGTCAAGTTTGTTTAGGTGTTCTCTTACCCAATTCTCCTTGACTAAAGGAAAGTCTTCATTCCAACATTCCTTTTTCCTGGTCTCCTGGGTCAGAGATCCCTGAGAACTGGTCTTGTCGGTGAAGACCAATGCAACAAAGGCATTCAGTAGCTCTGCCTTCTCTGCATCCTCTGTTACCAGGGTCCCCTCTCCAAGTATTGGGCCCACATTATCCTTTGTTTTCCTTTTGTTATTGATGTACTTGAAGCAGCCCTTCTTGTAGTCCTTGACATCCTTGGCCAGATTTAATTCCAGATGGGCCTTGGCCTTCCTTGTCTAATTTCTACTTACTCTGACCACCTCTCTCTATTCATTCCAAGTGGCCTGACCCTGCTTCCACCTCTAGTGTATTTCCTGCTTGTGCTTGAGTAATGACAGGAGTTCATTGTTCATCCATGCAGGTCTCTTGCACCCTTGGCCCAATTTATTTCTTATTGGGATGCATCGTTCTTGAGCCTGGAGGAAGTGATCCTTGAATATCAGCCAAGTCTCTTGGACCCCCTCTTCCCTTAGGGGCTTCTTCCCATGGGATTCTTCCAAGAAGATCCCTGAAGAGGCTAAAGTTAGCTCTCCTGAAGTCCATGGTTGTAATCTTAATTGCTGTCCTGCTTCCTCCTTGCCCAATACTTAACTCCACGATCTCATGGATCTCACTACAGCCAAGGCTGCCCCCAACCTTCACATCTTCCCCAAGTCTGCAGTGGTGCATGGGGTTAATTACAGCATTATGATAAATTGTTCTTTATGATCATTGATGTCTTATAGGACATCTATTTGAGACTCAAGTTTGAACAGTGATTTTTTTCTTTTTCCTTTATACCTGTCTATGCATTTATAAATTAGCTCTGCATAACGCGGTTTGCCAGTTAGTTTTTATAAACTTGTGGGAAAGAAATGAAGTTGTTAATCCTTTGAGAAAAATCTACTAATATTAAATGACTTCCTGTCATAGAAGTGTAAAAGCTTTAGCAAAACTAGTAGCGTAATCTTGTTGGCATGCCTGTGTGTGTATGTGTTAGTCTCTCTAAAGAGATACTACAGGGGTGGATCTACTGGATGCCAGGTGCCCACCAAAGCTGCTCTATCACTCCCCTCCTCAGCTGGAGAGGAGAGAGAAAATATAATGAAAGGCTTGTGGGTTGAGATAAGGGCAGGGAGAGATCACTCACTGATTACTGTCACAGGCAAAACAGACTTGACTTGGGGAAATTAATTGAATTTATTACCATTGAAATTAGAGTAGGATAATGAGAAGTAAAACAAATCTTACAAACACCTTCCCCCCACCCCTCCCTCCTTCCCAGGCTCAACTTTATTCCTGATTCTCTACCTCCTCCCCCCAGTGGCACAGGGAGACAGGAATTGGGGGTTACGGTCAGTTCATCACGTTTCTGGTGCTGCTTCCTCCTCAGGGACAGGACTCATTCCCCTGCTCCAGTGTGGGGTCCCTCCCATGGGAGACAGTCCTCCATGGACTTCTCCAACCTAAGTCCTTCCCACAGGCTACAGTCCTTCTCAAACTGCTCCAGCATGGGTACTTTTCCACAAGGTGCAGTCCTTCAGGAACAGACTGCTCCAACATGGATTTCCCACAGGGTCACAAATCCTGCCAGCAAACTTGCTCCAGCGTGGGCTTCTCTCTCCATGGGGCCACAGGTCCTGCCAGAGGCCGGCTCCAGCATGGGCTTCCCACAACAGGGTCATAGTGTCCTTTGGGCATCCACCTTCTCCGGCATGGGGGTCCTCCGTGGGCTGCAGGGGGACAGCCTGCCTCACCATGGGCTGCACCATGGGCTGCAGGGGAATCTCTGCTCCAGCGCCTGGAGCACCTCCTGCCCCTCCTTCTTCACTGACCTTGGTATCTGCAGAGTTGTTCCTCTCACATATTCTCACTCCTCTCTTCTCTGTCTGCGAGTACTTCCACACAATAATTTTTTTTCCCTTTTTAAATACGTTATCACAGAGGCGTTACTGCCATCGCTGATGGGTTCAGTCTTGGCCAGTGGCAGGTCCATCGTGGAGCTGGCTGGCATTGGCTCTATTGGACATAGGGGAAGCTTCTAGCAGCTTCTCACAGAAGCCATCTCTGTAGCCCCCGCTCTACCCAAAACCTTGCCACGCAAACCCCATACAACTGCCAATCTGCTAAGGATATGAGAAATACCACCACCAAGTAAATTCAGGCAATTTACTTCATGGTTTAATGATTTTTCTAAGTTGACCTAAATTCACTTATTTTGAATTCCTGGTCACTAATTTCCATCCACTTAAACAAATGCAAAGCATTACTCTGGCTTTATGTGTGAGGAGCAAATAATTGGAGCAAATAATTTGTTTCATATGTTAAAATTCTTTGATGTGGTACTATGTGACACCTGTTTGGCACAAACCCAGCTTGCACACATTTGTGCTATAACTGAATTAGCTTTATTACCAAGAACAACAGTTTAAATACAGTGTTCAAATCGTAACATGTGACCTCTTAACCAATGACATTAAAGCACTCCACTGGGCATGTGTGATAGAGTACCAAAGACTACAGGTTCCAGAACGCTTTGCTGCATTCTTCCTGTAATATGAACTGCTACAGTACTACACCTCAAATTTTCTTTTTATCACTTCCGTGACAACTCCCTTTTCATTCAAACCTTAAATTTCTGCATGAAAAAGTTCTGTTTTTCTTGGTGACTTGTATGTATCTATGCTTTGTGTTGTTTTGTGTATTCTGTTGTTGTTGTGAAATGCATCGATAATTAACCAAGCACTGGCTTCTGGTGGGCAAGACCTCTAAACAGAGTTTGAAGAATATTAGGCAAATACCTTTTCCATAATAAGTAGTACCCCTTTCTGAATGTTAGAAGGAAATGTTTCAGCAGGAATACATTTATTATGGAGTTACTATAAGTAGTTTTTAGTTCACTGTAGTCAGGGTCAACAACCTAAAGTTACAGTCGACTTCTGATTACTAGGGTACAGTTTTGTCTGAAGTGTGGATCATCTGTGTTACAACTGTAGAGACATGAGCTGGCTCCATTTCAGCTTATTAACCCCAATGCAGTGCTTTCTGAAAGTGCCTATGCTATTTCCACAGTCAGATGTGATCCAGAAGGAGATTTATCTCATTTGTGGGAAACCATGCAAAGTTTAATAAGGTCTGAGCACCAGAGCTGGCTATGCATTGCATCAGCAGCATGTCCTGAAATGGGGTAAAAACTGATAGTTGCAGGGAGAACTCACAGGAAGGACATTTGAATGATTATGCAGTGAACCAGCACAGCCCACAACAGGCTCAGTAGCTCAGGCTTTGCAAGGTTTAGAGGGGCTCTGAGCTTGGCCTTTTATATGCCCATTCACTCAGATACTCATGGTTCCAAGTTTAGGGACAGGAGATCTCGTGTGCCTGGATGTAGCCTACTGTGTATCATTTGGATTGATTCTGCTTTTTTGGGGGGTCTAGGAGTGTTAGAACAGTTTCCAATGCATCCAAGTAACTACAGGAGTTAAGTGAGGACCAGCAAGTAGGATCAACCTCCTTTAACCAACTTGGATACAGCAGGATTGTGTTTGGAGTGGTTGGGGCACCTGCACTTTATTCTGCAGTGTGTTTTGTACCTGTATAATAGAGAGTATCCATTTGTCTGTTGGACCACCGTATCTCAGATTAAGAAGTGTTGACTGTATATGCTATCTGTTGTGCAATTGTTCAGCTGTGTTTCTTTAATGTGAAGATTTTTGCAAAACCAGTAGTCACTTCTTTCTTTAGTAGAATTTTGAGTCCCCAATCCAAAACTATTTTCTAATACATGCCAACCAAAAATATTAAATAGAAAGCATATAATTGTTTTGCTTTATGATCAGTAAATTAGCTACATCAGAATGGAAAAAGGCATTAAACTTGCAGTTGAGACTTTTTTGGTGTTTTGGAGAAAAATTAACATTTCAGTTAATGTGGATTTTTTTTCAAGTACATTTAGAAGTTATTGAAATTTGTTCATTTCAGGAAAAAAAGTATATTAGAATTTCTGTTGCTTATTTCCCTAGGATGTTGACGCTACAAACCCAAATTATGAAATTATGTGTATGATAAGAGATTTCAGGGGAAGTTTGGATTATAGACCACTGACAACTGCAGATCCTGTAAGTTCCTGAGTGATGTGGAAATTTTTTATCCTTCTGAATTTTAATCTCTGTTTCCAATTTTTTCAATGTATGTACCTTGCCTTGAACACTTCCACAGAGGGAGTATCCTCAATTTCTCTGGGAAACCTGTACCTCACCACCCTCACAGTAAAGAATTTCTTCCTAACATCTAATCTAAATCTCTCCTCTTTTAGTTTAAAACCGTTCCCTCTCATCACTGCACTCCCTGATAAAAAAATCCCTCCCCATCTTTCCTGTAGGCCCCCTTTAGGTACTGGAAGGTTGCTATAAGGTCTCCCCAGAGCCTTCTCTTCTCCAGGCTGAACAGTCCCAACTCTTTCAGCCTGACTCCATAGCAGATGTGCTCCAGCCCTCTGAGCATCTTCATGGCCTCCTCTGGACCTGCTCCAACAGGTCCACATCCTTCTTATGCTGGAAGCCCCAGAGCTGGATGCAGTACTCCAGGTGGGGTCTCACAAGAGCGGAGTAGAGGGGGAGAATCACCTCTCTCGACCTGCTGGTCACACTTTTGATGCAGTCCAGGATATGATTCACTTTCTGGGCTGTGAGCACACACTGCCAGCTCATATTCAGTTTCTCATTCGCCAATACCTCCAAGTCCTTCTTGGCAGGGCTGCTTTCAACCTACTCATTGTCCAGCCTGTATCCATATTTGAGATTGCCCTGACCCAGGTGCAGGACCTTGCACTTGACCTTGTTGAACTTCACAAACTTCACACGGGCCCAACTCTGAAGCCTGTCAAGGTCCCTCTGAATGGCATCCCTTTCCTCCAGCATGTCTACCACACCACACAGCTTGGTATCATCTGCAACCTTGCTGAGGGTGCAGTTGATCCCACTGTCCATATCACCGATAAAGATGTTAAACAGTCCTGGTCCCAGTACCAACCCCTGATGTAGCCCCCCCGCTACCGAAACCCAACCATAGAAATCCACTACACCTGAGGAACGCCACTCCTCACTGGTCTCTACTTGGACATCAAGCCATCGACTACAACTCTTTGAGTGAGGCCATCCAGCCAATCCCTTATCCACCAAGTGGTCCATCCATCAAATCCATGTCTCTCCAGTTTAGAGACCAGGATGTCACACGGGACAGTGTCAAATGCTTTTCACAATTCCAGGTAGATGACATCAGTCACTCTTCCCTCATCCACCGATGCTGTAACCCTGTTGTAGAAGGCCACCAAGTTTGTCAGGCACAGGGTCCAGTGGAGGGCCACAAAGATGATTAGGGGTCTGGAGCACCTCTCATGAGGAGAGAACTGTGGGAACTGGACCTGTTTAGTCTAGAGAAGACTGAGAGGAGATCTAATTAATGCATATAAATATCTCAAAGGCAGGTGCCAAGAGGATGGTGCCAGACTCTTTTCAGTGGTGCCCAGCAACAGGACAAGGAGCAATGACCATAAACTAAAACACAAGAAGTTTCACCTCAACATGAGGAAGAACTTCTTTATGTTGAGGTTGGCAGAGCACTGGAACAGGCTGCCCAGGGAGGTCATGGAGTCTCTTTGGAGACATTCAAAACCCACCTGGACACATTCTTGTGTCACCTGCTCTAGGTAAACCTGCCTTGGCAGGGGGGTTGGACTGGGTGATCTCCAGAGGTCCCTTCCAACCCTAACTATTCTGTGATTCTGTGATTTGCTCTTAGTGAAGCCATGTTGGCTGTCACCAATCACCTCCTTATTTTCCATGTACCTTAGCTTAGTTTCCAGGAGGATCTGCTCCATGATCTTGCCAGGCACTGAGGTGAGTCTGACAGGCCTGTAGTTCCCTGCGTCTTCCTTATTTCCCTTTTTAAAAATCAGGATTATGTTTCCCCTTTTTCAGTCACGAGAACTTCACCAGACTGCCATGACTTTTCAAATATGATGGATAGTGACTTAGCCACTTCCTCAACCAGTTCTTTCGGGACCCATGGATGTATCTTGTCAGGTTTCAGGGAATTGTGCTCCTTCAGGTTCCTTAGTTGGTTTCAAACCTGATCTTCTCCTTTGGTGGGTGGTACTTCATTTTCTCAGCCCCTGCCTTTGGATTCTGTGAGTTGGGCAGTGTGACTGGAGCACTTGCCAGTTAAGACCAAGGCAAAAAACTCATTGAGTACCTCAACTTTCTCCATGGCCCGAGTAACCAGGTCTCCCATTTTGCTCATTGGGGGGTGGGGGTGAGGGGGTGGGTGTACGGTTTCTTTTATCTTTCTTTCTTATCCCATGTGCCTGTAGAAACCTTTATTGTTATTTTTCATGTCCTTAACCAAGTTCAGCTACAACTGCATCTTGACTTTCCTGATCTCCTCCCTGCACTCCCAAACCATATCCCTATAATCTCCCCAGGATATGTTTCACTGCCTCCACTGCCTATGCATTTTGGCTTTGTGTTTTAGTTTGGGTTCTCCCTTTTGGGTTCTAGGTTATTGTGCAGATGCAAGGGGCTTTTACACATTCAGATGACTCACTGTCTTGTAAATTTCTCTTTGTTTAAATGATATTATTATTCAAGAATAGAAGTAAAATATTCTATAACTGGAATGGGGATATAGTTCACTGAAAGATTGTTTCCTTTGTAGATTGATGAGCACAAGATATGTGTTTGTGTACGAAAACGACCACTCAATAAAAAAGGTATGGCCATTTAAGATTTTGCAGATTTTTTTTCTCTGAAAAACTGCTTCTGATAGTAATATTATTTGTATTAAAGAGATCTAGAAATACTGATCAAAGATGAAACACTTATACTAGACAATATGTGTGAAGCACCCAGAAAATTCATAAACTTATCATAACCTGAATAAAGATGGGGAGAAAAGTAGTTTAACTGTCACCATTTTATGTAGTGTAATTTTTTCCCAAGGTCATCTGGGATGTATTTAGTTGATCTGTGAATTAATTCTACTGTAATTTCTTCAGTATTCTTATATTGTGTTAGGATCACCATTTTTTTAAACTATTTTTTAAGTGATCACCTGATCAGTGAGCTACTCAATGAAAATTTTTCTACACTTTTTTTATACCTGTATATTTGTACTTTCAAGTCTTGAATCAAACATCAAGGGTACAATTCAGGTGCTTGAATGTTGGTGTCTTCTGACATTTAAGGTGTTGTCGTGGGTTAAAAAGGGTTTTCCCCTGGAGTTGGAAAGTGGTTAACCCCGGGGGGTGGTGTTCTTGGTGTAGAGCCAATCAGAAGTTACAATTCGCCCCTGTGAAATTAACATATTACAACAGACCAGAAAAGGAGACCTGATTACGTAGCTGGAAGAGAGGTAACCATGGCTTGAGATGCCACGTGTTTGAGAGAGGGGCCAGTGAGCCCCCCTGGGGGCCAAGGCCCCCAGCCCCCGACCGGGCTGCGAGGGACCCGGAACAGTATTAAAACTGGACCAGGTGCCATAGCCAAAGGCTGGGGGGAGTTTTCTCCACTGTGAGTGGGCAGCAGAAAGATGCTGGAGCGGTGGCAGAGGCAGTGCTGAGTGGAGAGCTGTGGCTGAAAGCCAAAAAGATAGCCAGCAAGCAGTGAGATGGCACGGAGCCAGGCTGAGAGATGCAGAGATGTCCTGCAGGAGGGAGAACTGGCAACAGAGCAGAGAAAACTCAGTAGAGACTGTTTTGGGGTAAGACTGAATTAAATATCCCCAAAACCCCTTTAGAGACCCTCTTTTGGAAAGAGGGGTGGACTTCCATTTGAAGTGAGTTCCAAAATGCAGCAGCAACTAGAGAGAGAAAGAAGAGCTGAGAACTTGGGAGACGTCCTGTGAGCTGGACCAGGACAGAATGCAGGGGAAGTGACCCTCCCCTGCCACGTTTGCAGCAGAGACAGAGCAAAGGAGTTCTGTTAGAACACTTGGGGCAAAAACTGAACTGAGAGCCCCTAAACGTTATGACTCGGGGGGAACTTAACCCCCCAAGGAAGGAACTTTCATGGGATGCCTTGCACCCTGTGATATGACCGTGGTAAGGCGAGTTTTATCCCTGCTTTGCAGCCCACGGAAGCAACCTTTGGTTGGAGCCGAAGGGTTGCAGGGGCATGAGAGAAAAAACGAAGAGAGAGAGAGAGATTTTCCAGCTACGACAAAGTGAATCTGCTGCTTGGAAGAGATTGTGCTGCCCTGAAAGATTTCTTCTTCTTTCCTTCTGAACTTTTATTGGAGGGAAAGGAGGGATTTGATCTATGTAAATATATTACTTTACCATAGGAGAGATAGTTAGAATTGTTGTATATAAAGGTATTATAATATTTATTGTGTTAGTAATAAATTTTGATATAATTTCCCCATGCTAGTAGATGTGTTATGTCTGAAAACCCCTCTCACACTGAAAGAAATTGTGGGAGGCTTGAAAATTGGATTTTTGGGGAGCTCAAACCACGACAGGTGTTCAAGGGTGTCCAAGACATCCTTGCAGGATTAGCAGGTTATAGACAAACTGGAGACTTGTATCTCCTGGAGTTGTTGCTTGGGGCTGGGCAGGATACCTTAGGGCATATGGAATGGCACTAAACAATTATTTTTAGGTACTGGAATCACTCCCTAGTGACTTCTTTTCTAGTATGATCAGCATTACTACTTTTTTTCTTACTGCCTGCTGATCAGACTGGAGTCTGTATCCCTCCCAAAAAAAAACATTTAGTTTTTCAACTCCAGCTAAATCCCAATCTTTCTATGAAGTTCTTTACTTTCATGGGAAATTAAGAACTGCAAATGCTTCTGGATTGCATCCTGTCTGAATCCAGCACTAAAGTAAGCTGATTTTCATTTTGAAAGACATTTCTTTCCTTCTCTTTGTTATTTTTTTTTAACTTAAGGACTCAAAGAACTTTGAAACAACATGGGATGAATTTATTATTTTTGTACTGTCAACTACACATTGAGGATTATCTGGAGGATATCCAGAGGAACATGGGAGAATTGTATAGAAAAGGGAAAGGGAAAACATATGTTGATGTCAGTATATAGTTAGTTTTCTTCTGTCTTATTTTTTCCCCTACAGATTACTGCTTCCCCTACCCTTTTTGTTTATTTTTACTTTTGCTGTTTTCTTATTCCATGTATTTTTTCTTTTATTGATCTGAAAGGAATGCATAATTGCAAAAATTGATTGATTGAAACTATTTTTCACAACCTATGTAATAAGGGCATTCAATATACAAGTCTGGAAACAGTTCAATTTCTGTTTTAGCATTGGAGGTTATCTTTAATAAAATATGACTCAGAGATGTGATACATATGGGGGGAACATTGCCTTCAACCTGCACTGAAGGTGGAGAAAGTGAAAATACAGTAATTGATAGCAAGTTGTCATGAGGCATAAATTAGGATTCAGAAGTGGGACTTGATTCTGTGCAAGTTGTATATCTTGGGTATTAGTGGTTTGGGGCTCTTAAAAAGTAGTTCTGAAGCGCTGATAGGAAGATGAGTGCCTAAGTAAAAATGAGGTTGGCACTAAAGTTATTTTGCATTTTTAGGAATAGGTTATAATAAAAGGTATTAATGAAATAATCTATGCTGCCGAGGAACCATAGAGATAATCTTGTACCCACATAATGCAGTATTCTGAGAACATTCACTTTAATTTTGAAAGTTCATAAGAAACAATATTTCTTTTGTCACATTTTAAAATTATATAAAATTATATAAAGTATAAAGAAATCAAAGATATTAGTCTGTAATACCTTGAAAAGAAAAAATATAGTTTTTCCTTTATTATTACAATAACAGCACACCAATAATATTATCTTTCCCCTTTCATGTTCTGTATTTTAAAATACCGTAAGATGTTAAAATAATTTAATAGAAATCAAGTGTACAAATCAATTTCTGTCAGTCTCACAAACACAGAATTATCACCAAAGTCTTTAGGTGTTCTCAGCACCAATCATTCTGTGGATTGACTTTTCAGGAAGTAGGACACATTAGTCATTCTGACTGTACACAGAAAGAATCTTTATTTTTGTGCATATCATGGATCACTGGGTTCTCTGTTTTGCTGAGTCATATCTCATACAACAACTAGCAATAAATTGTAGTGCTGTGTAGTAATTATAACCTGGGGACTCACTATTGAAATCACGTCTAGATGGCTTTTGTTCATTCCTAGTGATAGGAAGCATCATTAACACGTTCAGCTTTTTCTCCTTACAAATAATTTAAAGAAAAGATTTTCCTTTAGAGAAATTCTATATTAAAGATGTATACTTGAGATTCCAGGAGGAATACACAAATGAAAATGTCTGTGTAGAATGAAAACAGTTTTTTTCTTTTTGAAAGCTATGAACATATGACTATAACTTTAAGGATTTACGAAAAATAAAAAGATAATTTTAAAATGAAGTTATAATGATAGTGCTATCATTAATGATCTTAGCTTTTCTAGTCGACTTTGTACAACCTTTCTTTACCTTCTAGCACTTGGTAAGATAGGATGACGACTTCAAAAATGAAATTTCTTACTTAGTAGATTACTATCTAGGTATCAGAAGCCCAAGTCCATTGCAGTGTTGTTACTTGCAGGAGCTGTGTTATCTGAGACATTATAAGAGTGTAAACAATGAAAATATGTAAAAAATAGTGATGTGTTGCTACTTAAATATATGTATTTCATTTATTTTTTAGAAACTTTAATGAAAGACCTTGATGTAATAACGATTCCTAATAAAGATGTTGTGATGGTACATGAACCAAAACAAAAAGTGGATTTAACAAGGTACCTAGAAAACCAAACTTTTCGTTTTGATTATGCCTTTGATGACACGGCTCCTAATGAAATGGTTTACAGGTATGTGTATGTGGTTTCTTTGGTGAATCTTTTTTCTCATATATCTCCAATGTCAATAGCTGTGGGCTTACCTTGGTCATGGACTTATATTCTGTGTGTTATCAGATATGCATATTGCTAACTCCATTCTTTTGCCTGTTCACTTTTGGTTTAACTCTGTTTATCCTGAATCCTGGTCTCAGTTCTCCAAGACTTTTCCAGGGTCTAGTGTGTATTGCCTCCTCAGGAGGCAAACAAATCAGGAGAGGGTGGGGAAAGAGTATGGAGAGACCCCAAGGTATTTGGATCTCCATTTTCTCCTTTATTCTTCTGTTTCACTCCCACAGTTAGAACAGAATAATGCACACAGTATTTTAAAAAACTTGTTTAGAAGTAGTCGTTTACCTTGTATAAGTTGCTAAATGGATTAGATGCAGTAGAAGGCAAGGTTAGACACCATGACAGGTCGTAATCTTGGTACACAGTCTAAATATTGTAAATATTTTTGCAAGGAATATTGATATTAGAAAGGAATTTGATTAAGATAATTTCCCTTATGCTTAGAAAGTGCTTCCTATAGCCTTAAGGAGTAGGGACAGAGAATTATCTTAATTCTCGTTTTTAATCCAACAATTAGGAAGTGAAAGTTGGCATCATATCCTGACTGATGTTAGATGCTAACATCCTGTTGGTGGACAAGAGAATTATTAAAAGGCCTTGAAAATCAAAACTGGTGTCTTATACTTGATAGAAATAAGAGGAGAAGTGTAGCAAAAGTAAAAACTTCTTAGTCTGTCAGTTTACACCAATGAAAAAACTTCTAAACAGCAAAGCTGTGCCCTTGGAAATTTCTGTCTCTAATGATTGTCTACTGGTAGCATCTTTTCTTTCTTGATAGTAAAGAGCTGAGAGAGTGATCTAGCTGGTGAAATGTGCCTCTGTCACAGGGAGATAACATCTTCAAATAGGGTAGCAGTTGAACTCTGGTCTTTTTAGGCAGCTGTTGTCTTGGCACTGCTCGAACCTCTTCTGACATAGCTGAGAGGTCACTTCCTGGCTCTCCCTGATCACTTATTGGGTAGAGAGTCAGTATCCCTTAGGACTTTCCAACACAAGAGGGGGGGGAAGTGACTCAGATTCAAAAAATACTTGGCTAGAGATGCAGTCAAACAACACTGGAGGTGAGAGAGAGAGAGTGTTTGAGACATTTCTTGGAAGGGCTCAAAGGGGTCTCCACCCCATGTCCTTCGTCTTGAGGAGTTTTGCTTTTCTGTCTAGCCTTTTTCTTACAGCCTCTCGCAACAGTTTTCCTCCTGCTTAACAACCGGTTCTTGTAATCTCTCCCCTTCATGTTATTTGTCTTTGTGAGCATAGTGTTTAAATGTGAGGGTTGTTTTTGACATACAATGTTATTATGTTTTTGTGCTGTTTCTTCTGCAAAATTTTTATTAGTTGCATAATAAATTAATAGTAATATGGGAAAATATTGAAAGATGTTTGTATTCATACTGAAACAATAAATCTCTAGTCTGTGTAGCAGTACAGGCTTTTTTCTTCTCCCTCATGGCAGAATAATGATTATTACATGAAGGAAAATCTGCTTCAAGGCCTCCTGTAATAACACAATTAAGAGGAAAATAGGTATCATTGCCTGCTCTAACCAGAACTATCAGGGTCACAGCAGGGGAAAAAAAAAGTATGACAAGTTACTTCAGTTTTCTTCAGTATGCTAAAATTGCTCATTATATTTCTATACTGAAAAATGTTCTCAAGAAATGTACTACTCTTATTTTTTATTATTATTTTACTTAAGCTGTATTTTAAGTATTTTTGAATCCTTGAGGCACAACACTGAGTTGAAGTTTTCTTTAGTATTAAAAAACTGAAATGCCTTTTGAATTTTAAAGGAGAATCAGAGTTTATATTTCTGAATGATCAAGATTGCAAATAAAGGTTCTACTAGAAGGAAAGTTGGACTGTTTTGGCGTGGTACCATTTGGAGTTGTATAATGCTTTACAATAACTTTTCTAGATATGTTTGTAGTTTGCCTTATTTTAAAATACGTATAATAAAGTCAATTTTTTATAAATCATCAAAATAAATAATTTCAAACTCAGTTAAACAGAGATAATGGAATGTCCTTCTTAGGTGGATAGGTTTCCTGAAATTGATTGGGAATATCCTCTTGAGGACAAAAGAGGTATATAATTGGAGGATGCAAACAAGTCTAAGGCTGATCAGGAATCATCTGGTACATTTTTGATGAAAACTGATGATTCAGTTAGATTTTTGCATAACCCTTGGTTGCTGAATGGCCCATATTATTTTCATAAGTAATGTTGTGTTTGTTCCAAAGTGGAATGAAAGGATGTTGTAACACCTCAGCGTTTCTGTAAACAATCATTCTTGTCTTTGTCACTAAACATACTTTATTTGTAAACACCTGGAAAAAGTTTAGAAAGACAGACTCTTAGCTCCATTACCTGGTGGAGGTAACCCTTCATAAAGTTACTCTTTGCTTTTGGAGGTTTTAATGAAGTAATGGTGATAAGTAGCTGAAGTAGGAGCAATAGCTATATTTATTTAAGTAAAAATTAATTCTCTAAAATAGAAAAATTATACTTTGGAAAATATTTTTGACACATCAAATAATAAATAAGGTATAACTGGATTTTTCCATTCTGATGAGCTTGGGTACAAGTTTTATTGAGCCTTCTCTCAGCATAACTATGTTCTCAAAATATTTAAACACGTGCAATGTTTTTTTGGCCATCTGTCATCTAAACTTAATCTTGGAAGCTGATTTAGGGAAAAAAACTATAGTGGAATTTTTGTATTGGCAAAATGTAAGTATTTATCGGCTGCACTGTCCTACTTCTGTATCTTATAATGGTGCCTTTTTTAGGGAGTTCCAAACTCCATGTAATAAGTTGTGCCATGTTGCATCACTAAAACAAGAAATTTTTTTTCTGAGGGTTTGAAGGAAGATAATGTTTTTGTAAAATAAATGGGAAACACCTTGTAGCTTTTCTTTAATTGTCTAGGATATTTGAATGCCTTAGAGCTGGTAGCCTCTTTAGTTCAGGAATTAATGTGATGTCCTTTGGTCTCTCAAAGTACAGAACCAGTTTTGTCACTTCTGGCATTAAAATTTATAGTGCCCTTGTGGTAGTGTGGGATTTTAAAGTAATTAAATTTCTTAAGTACTGTTGTTTTTTGCATTTAAGGTTTACAGCTCGACCATTAGTAGAGACCATATTTGAAAGGGGAATGGCCACTTGTTTTGCATATGGACAAACAGGCAGTGGAAAAACCCATGTAAGTATTTCTTCTACATATCAGCAATACACTTCTTTTTATGTATGATACACTTCTAATTCTAATTCTAATAAGTAACAAATATGTAAGTTACAGTTCTATGATCTTTATAGTGTATTTTTGGTCTTTTTTGGTTTTTTAATTTAGACTATGGGTGGTGACTTTTCAGGAAAAAACCAAGATTGTTCTAAAGGAATATATGCACTTGCAGGTGAGACTTTATACTTCTTGTGGCTTTTTGAAAATTAGTTGTCTTAGTTTAACAAGACAAAAATGTCTGCCAAGGATGGAATAGGAAAAAAACAAACTCCTCCCTCTAAGTTATTATAATTTTGAAATTAAGAGACTTCAGGTGAAAAAGTGTGGAAAAGGAAATAACAGCTCTTTACTAAATATATATATAACAAAACAGAACAAGCAACAATACCGTAACTGAAACTTTCACTGAAAACAATTAAGTATTTGTGCCTTTTGGCGCAGTTATAACCACACCCAGCAGGGGGCACTGGTGTGCCTTGGGAGGCAGGGGCTGCAGTGCCTCACTCACTGTCACCAGGGGGCACTGTTGGCCTCTGGTGAAATGCTGGAGCTGCAGTGACTCCCTTTCACCCGGCAAGGGGAGCTGTTGTGCCTCGGGAGAAGCGAAGGCTGCATTTACTTACTGGCGGCCGGCAGGGGGCGCTGTCGGGCTCTGGTGGCTGCCGCTCCCACGGGCATCGGCGCGCGGGAGGCAGCTGGGTCGACCTCCCGGAGGGCACGGGCCGCCGCCGGCACGGGAAGGGAGAAGGGGGAAGGGTGGTTGCTCCCCTCATGGGCTTCTGTGGACTCACGCTATCGAAGGCTGGCTCTGGCGATCCAAAAACCAGACCGAACCACTCCAGCCCACACCACGTGACTCCCCCCCCAAAACGCAAGCCAAAAACGCCCAGCCAAAAATTGCCAGCCCCTTTTCCCTTACCCCCCCCCCCCCCACCCCACCCCTTTCCCTCTGGCTACTGCTGCTACCTTCCCCTACTGCCTCAGGCAGAGGCAGAGGAAAACAAAAGAGTCCCGCTTTTTGCTGAGAAAAGTCGTTAGCTTTTCAATGGGGGGCAATTAGACTCCGAGCTAGAAAACTACGGTTCATCTTATCCTAGCAGACTGTTGGTGTGGGAAATTCACAAAAAAAAAAAAAAGAAACTATAACAGTAGTCGAGGTCAATACATTTCTACTTCCTGTTGTACAAACATAAAGGTCTACATATTTTGCATTACAGTGGAACTTTGGTAACATAAAAAATAGTTCCTAGGTGTGCAGATTTTACACAGTAAGGTAAATATATATAGATAACTTCAAAAATATAAAAAATATAAATGATGATTGAGTTTACAATTTTGGAGTCTTCCGCATCTTCCAATGCAATGTGGCAGTTTAAACTGCAGTGTTTTTTATTTGATTGACTTGATTGACTATTACAGTTGCAAAATACGAGATGCTATAAAATAGACTGCTATGCATTAATAAGTCTTCACTAAATGAAAATACATAACTACATTTCTTCTTTTTTTTGTAAATATATTCACAGCTAGAGATGTCTTTTTAATGCTAAAGAAACCAAACTATAAGAAGTTAGAACTTCAAGTATATGCAACGTTTTTTGAGATCTATAGTGGTAAGGTAAGTACCTGATCTTTTTCTGAGGAAGGTGGAATTTCTTTTACACAAAACAGATTGTGAGCTTGTCACATAAAAGATTTTTTTCCTTCTTGTACTGAAAGCTTTATTTCAAATAATTCTTTACACTTCTCTTTCAATCACAGAATCTGTCAGACTGGAAGGGACCACAGTGGGTCATCTGGTCCAACCTCCCTGCTAAAGCAGCATTGTGCATGGAATGCTTTGCATATTTTGATATGAGATTTGAAGCAAAAATGTCTTTTAAAGCTCCTCTATAACTGTTCTGTTCCTCTCCTCCCCAAGGTTTTTGACTTGTTGAACAGGAAGACAAAATTAAGAGTATTAGAAGATGGTAAACAGCAAGTCCAGGTGGTAGGATTACAGGAACGGGAAGTCAAATGTGTTGAAGATGTTCTTAAGCTTATTGAAATAGGCAACAGCTGCAGGTATCTCCCATAACTTTCACCAATTTTTCACTGTAAATTAAAGAATTGGAACAAGATTTTTTTTTGTGTCTCTTCATAGTGATGGCTTTTTAATATGCAGTGGTATTTTGATGATATTGGCTGCAAGTAAGAAAACTGCCTATCTTTTGAATTAAGATAGTTTAGAGTTTCTCAGCTAGAGAGAAATAACGGATTTTTCTACAGAATGTGAATTGCATGCATTATATAACCAGTTTGTTGTCTTAAATTCACATCATTTATAATCTGGAATACTGCCAGATTCTTCAGTTCTAAAAGACCTTGATATGTAGTGACAGAAGTATAAAAGTTGGGATTTTGTTAAGATCCAGTTGTATTATTTTTAAAATCAGTCTTGTGATAGACTACTGCCTGATTAGATAAAAATACCACATGCGACATTTTGCATATAAACTCTCTGATAGTCTGAAATCTTTGGAGATCTGATTATTCTTGCTTTTAAGAGAGTAGTAAAATGTTACGAATCTTCCATTTCTGTTTGAAGAATTGGAGAAATAGGTATAATTATACTATGCACATCGAATTATTAGGGTAAAAACAGGACTCTGCCCTGAAAAAACTCATGTTCTGAGGGTAATGTGTTTAACATGTATGGTCCTTTGCCTGTTCATATGTCCTTCCTTTTTTCGTTTTGTTAAAGGACATCTGGCCAGACATCTGCAAATGCTCACTCATCTCGAAGCCATGCAGTATTTCAGATTATTCTCAGAAGGAAAGGGAAATTGCATGGTAAATTTTCTCTGATTGATTTGGCTGGCAATGAAAGAGGAGCAGATACTTCCAGTGCAGACAGGCAGACTCGACTGGAAGGTGCGGAAATTAACAAGAGTCTTTTAGCACTCAAGGTAACTGAAATGTTTCCATTGCTTTTGAGTAGGTGAAAACCTTCTACATATAATAACAATGACTATTGAAACAAGTGTTTTTGCAGGCTTTGCTTGTCTACATTGTCTACTGATGTGACAGGTAAAATAACATCTTGTTTTTCCTTTAAATGCCTGAAAAAACACTTGGTAATTACCAAGTAGAAACATTGCAGAAACATTGTGCTATCAATTTTCATGTAGTTTAAAAAACAAAAAAAAAAACCCCAACAAAATCCCCAGTAGTTGAATTTGAACACTTTTGATACACACCTATTTTTTTTATTAAGAAAAGATTAAAAAAGGATACCTTTTTTAGTGGTTTAACCCCAGCTAGCAACCTCCCGGCCAACTCCTCCCAGTTTATATACTGGGCGTGATGTTCTATGGTGTGGAATATCCCTTTGGGCAGTTTGGATCAGCTGTGCTGGCCATGCTCTCTCCCAGATTCTTGTGCAACTCCTCACTGGCAGAGCATGAGACACTGAAAAGCCCTTGACTCAGGGTAAGCACTTCTCAGCAACAACCAAAACATCAGTGTATTATCAGCGTTATTCTCATACTGAATCCAAAACACAGCACTGTGACAGCTACTGATAAGAAATTAACTCTGTCTTAGCCAAAACCAGGACAGTATCCACCCCTAATTCCATACCATTTACATCATGCCAGGTCACACAGTTCCCAATACCCTATCACCTTTCTTGTCTTTTGATAGATATACACAGATATCATTCCCTTAGTCTATGGACCATACCTATAAAAGTCCATTGAGTTCATTTAGTCCATAACCTTTTGTCATAACAGTCTTTCAGGGCAGATGTGTGGTGTTGGATTGTTGCATGCTGTCTTGGTTTGAAATTGCCCTCCCCGGGAGTCAGGGGGGAACCTAGAGGTGATTGGGTCCCAGGGCAGTCTCCTCTGAAGGACCAATCACCGCTCGTTTTGTTCGCTCCTGTGAAAAATCAGATATACACAACCACTGGAAGTTGGCAGTCTGTCTGCTGCTGTGTCTGCTGCTATGTCGGTGTGTGCATGTGAGAGGGCCCAGGGGTGGCAGGGCCCCTTTCCCCTCCGGGGAAGAGGGGCCCTGCGCCCCACAGCTCTGGCCAAGCTAGGGTTGGAGGCAGCATTGGAGTGTTGTGAGACAGAGAGAGAGACTCACAACCATGAGGTAAGCGGGAGAGAGAGGCAAGCTCCTTGCGAGGAGCCAGGCCCTCTCCCCCCCCTTTCCAGCCAGACTGCGGAGGGTTTTTTGTTTTTTTTCCCTCTCACTGTAAGAGTGGAGGGAAGGCTCAACATTGGAGCTGAGCCAGGAGACAGGCCGAAGGAGGCTTGATGCCAGGGAAGAAAAAACCAGGTGAAATTGGAGACAGGCCAGAGAGAGGCTCGGCGGGTGCCCTACAGAGGTTTGACTGGGAGCAACTGAAAACTGACTCGGAGGAGGAATGAAAATTCCAGGACGCGTGCACGTGATAAACTAAACTGAACTACAGCAGCTACGGAACCGAGGGAGAGAGATATATGAGAGAGAATCACTCAGCAGAGATTGGCACAGAACCAAGAGAGCACGGACTCTAACTATTTTCTTGGACTTCGTAAGGAAGAAGAGACTTCAGTAAACAACTGGAGGTTGGGGGGGGGAGTGAATCAAAGGAAACCCTTTTCCCTGAACACTCCCATGAGAGAAAGACTGCTTACCTATCAGCCGAAGGTCTCCTCCTGGGCTGAATTAAGGGAGGGGCTTAGAAGGATGATAGAAGTGTGTAATATTGTATATATATCGTTGCTTTTAGCTTGTACAGTATTTAATTTGTATAGAATGAATGTATATACTTTCCCTTCCCCCTATAGAGGTATCTGCCTGAAAGTTTCTCTTTGGTGTTGAGGTAAAATTGGGAAGGGCTGGGGGAAGCCTGGAAATTGGATTTTGGATTTTTGTGGTGGTTAAAACCCCCACACATGCTGAAGCCAGTTCTGATTCCATCACTACTGCACTTGTCCAGCTTCATCAAAGTTCATTCTTTATTAATGTGGCAATCGAAGTGGAACTGGGTTCAGATCCCCAAATCTGGAGTGGCAGAGACTTGTGATGATGGCTGTATAGCCACCATAGAAGTGATAATATACAGTGTTAATAATATAGCAATATAGTATAGCAGTGTATAATATAGCAATTAACATCATGCAATTTAATTCAGAGGCTATTCTTACCCAAAATCAAATTCCCTTGAGGCACACATCCTCTCGCGTTACCCACCATGTGCACTCAGGTCCTTGAGCAAAAGCAATCCCACAGATGGGTTTGCCTGTGCCTGAGGCAGGGATAATCCAGACTGTTTTCCCTAACATGTTTTTAATGTGCACTGCAGGAACTCTTTCCCCTTCTACAGTACATAAAAGTTTTGATTGGGCAGGGCCAACTCAATTGGCAGATCGTCTGCTGTTGACTAACCAGGTGGCCTTTGCCAAATGTGTATGTCAATGTTTGAAGGTTTCCCCACCCATTACTCTCAGCGCAGTTTTTAGTGATCTGTTGCACTGTTCAGTTTTCCCAGAGGCTGGTGCATGATAGGGAATGTGATACACCCACACAATGCCATGTTCTTTGACCCAAGTGTCTATGAGGTTGTTTTGGAAATGGGTTCCATTGTCTGACACAATTCTTTCTGGAGTACCGTGTTGCCATAAGACTTGCTTTCCAAGGCCCAGGATAGTGTTCTGGACTGTGGCATGGGGCACAGAGTATGTTTCCAACCATCCGGTGGTTGCTTCCACCATCAAAAGCACATGGCACTTTCCATCATGGGTTTGGGGGAGTGTGATAGAGTCAGTCTGTCAGGCCTCCCCATACTTATATTTCAACCGTTGTCCTCCATAGCACAGAGGCTTTAACCGCTTAGCCTGCTTAATTGCAGTACATTTCACATTAATGGATAACCTGTGCGATAGTGTCCATAAGTCCACCCCTTGATCACGAACCCTCCTCTGGTGACATTCCAAAATCTTTGCCTTCTGACCAGTCCACGATCACTTCCAAGATTCCTGGATGACTGGGTTTCCTATTTGAGCTCATCATGTGATCACTGTGACCCACTTACTCCATGTAGCATCAGTTGCATGATACGTAGAGGAAACCCTCCATTTGAACATCCAACTCAACACGGGTAACTGAGGTGCCAGTAGGAGCTGGGCTTCAATACCAATCACCTCTGAAGCAACTTGAACCCCTTCATAAACTGCCAGTATCTCTTTTTCAGTTGCAGTATACTGAGTTTTATATCCTCTGTATCCCTGACTCCAAAAGCCTAGAGGTTGACCTTGAGTCTCCTCTGGTGCTTTCTGCCAGAGGCTCCAGATATGACCATTCTCCCCAGCTGCACTGTAGAGCACATTTTATACATCTTACCCTGTCTGGACTGACCCAAGGGCTACAGCATGAACTATGTCCTGTTTTATTTGTTCAAAGTCTTGTTGTTGCTCAGGACCCCATTTGAAATCATTCTTCTTCCAGGTCACTTGATAGCAAGGGCTGACAATCAGACTAATTTGGAATGTGCATTCTCCAAAATCCTACAACACCTAAGAAAGCTTGTTTTTTTCTTACTAGTTGGTGGAGACATTGCTACTGATAACGTTCATCTTGCCATTTTATTCATAAAAAAGGGATCTCTTGTACAGGGCCCTTGATCTTACTTTGTTTTATAGTAAAACCGTCTTTCAGAAGGATTAGGACTGTTTTCCTCCCTCTCTCAAAAACTTCCTCTGCTGTATTGCCCCACATGATGATGCCATCAATGTATTGCAGGTATTCTGGAGCTTCACCCTGCTCCAGTGCAGTCTGGATCAGTCCATGGCAGATGATAGGGCTGTGTTTCCACCTCTGGGGCAGTCAATTCCAGGTATACTGGACACCCTTCCAAGTGAAAGCAAACTGTGACCTGTACTCTGCCGTCAAAGGTATTGAGAGAAACGCATTAGCGATATCAATTGTGGCACCACTGGGCTACCTTTGACTCCAGTTTCATATTGAAGTTCCAGCACTCTATTCCAGCTGAAACCAGAACACTTTTATGACAGATTTATTTACCACTGTTAATTAATCAACTAAATAAGAAAACAACAGAACAGCACTACATCCATAAAGAATTAATGAATAAAATAAAATAACCCTTAAAAGTTGGAATCCATTTTTAATGAAATCATGGAATCATTTGGGTTGGAAAAGACCTTTAACATCATCGAGTCCAATCATTAACCCAGCACTTCCAAGCCCACTACTAAACCACGTCCCCAAGTACCATATCTACATGTCTTTTAAATCCCTCCAGGGATGGTGACTCCACCACTGCCCTGGACAACCTGTTCCAGGGTTTGACAACACTTTCAGGGAAGTCTTTCTATCCCAAAGAAACTCCTCCCAATACTGGGAGACTTTGCCTAAATGAGGATTTGAGGACTCTTGTCTCATTACAATATTTTACAGTGAAACATCTGAAACACTGCTCTTTTTTGAGTTTTTTGACTGCTCTTTATAGCAAATTGTCTGATACAATCACTGCAGTTTTTCATACATTAATCAAGAAGACATCGAGAGATAAGAAATATTATTTAAATAATCAAATGTTTTTATTATTTGTTTTATAATGCTTGAAAGACGTTCAGTCTAAATAGGAAAAGTAATTTTTTTGTCTCAGTTGGGAAAACGGTGGTTTTGAATGGCCCAGAACTTATCTCGGTTGTTGCTCAGCTTTACGTAGGTTTACTACTCACTGCACCAAAAACTCACTGCATCTAAACATAAAAATCATTGTGCCTAATTTTTTATCCTAGTATAAACTTGTGAGACTTGTATCAGACTCTAAGCAGATCTCACAAAACACCAAAAAATTGTAATGTGTCCTTACAAAATTGTATGTTGTTGAAAAATTGGAAGCAGCAGTTGCAAAACTGTTTTGATTTAGTATAAAAATAAACAATGCAAACAACATTGTGTTCATGTTAGCAGATGTTTCCATATGTAATTGAATAAAGTTGTTTTGGTTTTGTTTTAGTTTACTTGCTGATTTTGTGCTGTCTAGTGCCTTCAGTGCAATACTCATACAACATAATGAGTTCATTTTCATACAACTTGTCTTTTTAATTATAGTGAAAGGCTCTGCTGCTGCTGTACTGGTGATCATGATCTAAATTATATGTAAAAGGGAAAATAAAAATAAGTGGAGGCCTTGGAGAGATCTAAAAAGTGGTAAAGGAAGATATAAATGTTTCTCAATTATATGTTAGTTTTTCATTTTTCATCTATCCCCAAAAACATTACACAGGTTTTTTCATTTGTATTCAAGACCCTTGCAGTTATTGTCATGTTCTAATTGAACTAGTATATTCTGAGAAGTGGTTTTGGTGCTGATCCAAGATTCGCTATTTGCGTGTGGATATCAGTCTTAAACTGTTCAGATTTTTGGTATAGGACATTATTTCTGTAATGTCTCTACATAGAAGTAGTGTTGTCATTTTGTTACCTGGTTTTCTGAGCTGTGATAAAAACAAAAGTAGTTAAAAACCCCATTCATTTAGAAGCTGGCAGTGTCCTCCCATAATCCTTTTACTATTAAGGAGACAATGTAACTCTATGTTTTCAAGGGTGACCAAACTAAAAATCATTATAGTATATTAAAATATCTTAATTAAACTTATTGCCATATCAGTAATTCAACATACACATTTGTACTGTTTTTAGTTTGTAATGTCACTTGTTGAAACTCTGTCGCCCCTCTTCCTGTCTAATCTGCTTTTCTCCTTATGTAAGTATCGTAGTTATGTACAAACAAATGAAAAAAATTTAAGGAATGCACTGCTATGCTCATCTATAAGTATTGAGTCCTTTTTAGCAATTGCATGTGAAATTCACGTTCAACAAGCTTTGGACTTTCTGTTTATCTGAGTTGTGTTCATTCTATAACATTCAGTTGATGAGTTTTTAAATAATCACTTTAGTTAAAGCCAACTTGCCCTTGTGTTTGTTCTGTTCCGTATCATGTCAGTTTTATTCTGAGCCTGTTTAGTTGTTTTATGCTGTTTCACAGTTGCAATGCTTTCTTAGATTATCATCCTACCGTTTCTAACCTGGCTTTTGAAAGAAGCTGTTTCTAGGAAATTTCAGTAGGCCACAAGGATATGGATGCAACTTGAGAATTAGTTGAATTATTGTAGAACTATTTATGCAACACAAAAGCCATTCCATCTGTTAGTCCTGCTAAAAGCAAAGCTATAATATGAAAAGATTTTGATGTACAGTTGTTTGAAGAAGTTCTGTGTGTAAACATGTTAAAACTGTACCAAGGAAACCTCGAATCTGAAGAGGTGCCTGTATACAAAGTATTAAGGCAAAACCAGAAACTGGAATTAATGATCAAAATATGACAACAACAGCAAAAAAAAAATTTAAATTTGAACTTTCTGTAAGTAGTAATTTATTAGCTGATGTTAGAGCTCTGAGTGGGCAGAAGTGAAGTGTCGCGTGGGGTCTTTATATAATAAAGGAATGGAGTCAACTCCCCGATGCGATGGTAATCAAAGAGACTTTATTCAAACCCGGCACTCTTTTTATCCCTTAAAACCATGTGACCTTGTGACCAATGGGGTTATCTTATTCCAGCGCATGTCCCTTGAGCTTCCCTGCCCTCAGTGATTCCCCTGCACCCCTGGACACGCCTCCTACAGTGAAGTTTAGTGCTATCTTGGTTTGCACTATTGTACTCAGTTGCTGCTGTAACTTCTATAGTAATTTTTTAATATTTACTTCTGTACAGTATTTCTCTCTGGAACTCTCCAACCAATTGCAAATAGTCATTTAACTCCATACCCTTTGTGTGAGTGAAAGGGGAGGGAGATCTTATCCCTGTCTTTCTCATGAAGAATGTTTTAAAACAGGGAATGACTTACATTTTCAAGTGTTTCCCAATATTGAGTTCATCAATACAGAGCTATACTTACTAGGTTTGTGACCTGTGGAAACTTTCAGAAAGTTTGGGCACCAGTGTTTTCTTCTAAAGAAAGTCAGTGGTAGAGCCAGAATCAGAGCTACTGCTTTTAACTGATAATGTCACTGTCCACACTTCTGCTGACAGAGGCTGTAGATCATTCAAGCTTTTGCAGATCATAATCAGAAATAGTTGTTAGTCTGGAGATTTAACATCAACAATTAATTTTTGTTGTTGTTGAATACAATATATATAAACATTTTGGATGAGATTCAGAAAGTTTTTAGACTCCTAAGTCCTTTTTAAGTTGCTACCTCTCTGCTGAGTTTAATGAGAGATGAAAACCTAACACTTCTTGAATTCAAGCTTACATAACTTCAACAACATAACTAAGACGTATATTTTCTGATTTTGAATTCCATTTGTATTATGTATTTTTCTTTAACATGGATTGTATAAATATGAGTTTTTACTCTGATTTTATGAAATATAAACCTGTTTGTTCTTTCAGGAGTGCATTAGGGCCTTAGGTCGAAATAAACCTCATACACCGTTCAGAGCAAGTAAACTTACTCAGGTGCTAAGAGATTCATTCATAGGAGAAAACTCCCGTACCTGTATGGTAAGTTTGTTTAGTTAACTGTATGTTTTAACAATTAATTTAACTTTATACATTAACTGAGACTATATTTGGAGTGAGTCAGCAGAGTCATTTCAGATAACTTGCTCCCTTCTCATTTTTTATTGACCTTTCTTATTGCTTGTTCTAGTTTTCTAGTTAGATACATAGTTAGAAGCACTTTAGCTTGAGTCTTTTTTTGTTTGATTGTTTGTCTTAATTATATGAGAATATTGCTTGTTGAATCAGAATTTTGGAAAAAGTCATGTAGACTGGAAGTGTAGAGGTGAGTTATGATCTTTAAATAACAAAGACAAATTTAGAATTGGTATCAAAGGCATCAGAATATGCTCTAGGTTGTTAAGGGGAGAAGTAGTTGGAATAGATGGGATGAATAGTTGTGTACTGTATAAATGTGCATTTGCATGAATCTGAAAAAACAGAATTCTTCTGTCAGATGGTGGAAAGAACAGACAAAAGCACAAATGTCCAGTGGTTTTATTTGTGCATCCTTAATGTTTCTTCTTATGGAAATTTAAACTCTCTGCAGTGAACACTGACTTAAGCTTGTTTGCTGTGGTGGGTTGACCTCACCTGGCTGCCAGGTGCCCACTAAGCTGCTCTATCACTCCCCTCCTCAGCAGGACACTGGGGAAAAATAAGATGGAAAAGAACTTGTGGGTCAAGATAAAGGCAGTTTAATAAAGCAAAAACAAAGGCCATGTGCAGAAGCAAAGGAAAATCAAAATGTTTTATTCTCTACTTCCCATCAGCAGGCAATGTCTGGTCACTTGCCAGGAAGCAGGGCTTCAGCATGCGTAGCAGTTGCTCTGGAAAACGGTCATAATAATGAATACCTAATAAAACTGTACAGTACTGTTATATCAAGGTAACGTGTAGATAATGATAACATTTCCTCAAAAATATTTTAACCTGTAACAGGCAAAATAAATTGAAGAGATTGAAACATAGAAGTATTGTTCAATTGGAGAATATTATTTATTGAACATGTAATATAATTCATCAAAATTTTACCTTTTTCAAGCTACTGGTTTTGCTTGTCAGTGAGGAGGCATTTATTGTAAAAACATTCCTCAACAATACAAAGATTTGATCAAATGTTCTAATGTGCTATTAGAGAGTAAGACATTTTGCAAATATGTGATACTTTTTTATATGGAAAGCATATAAAATGATATAGTAAAAACTTGTGATTTTAACTTTCTGAGAGATTCCTGAAACAACCTGGTATAAAATACCTACTGGGCTTGTTCCACTTCCTTTCTGATATATAATTTTTGAATGAGATGTTTGAGTCAAATTTCTTTGGGTAATTTCTACACTTAATTTTTATTTGACTTTGCCTTTTATCATTTATGTAATTTCTTGTTGCAATTTTTAAAGTTACATCTTTAGACATGGAGCATCACATCTGTATAGAAGGCTAAAATATGATTCAGAAACTTATTCTTGTGAAATTTAAAAAAAATTCAAAAACTTATTTTGAAAATAACTTCCCTGTGGACAGCTATGACTAGGATCCGCATCATTCTAAAGAAATCCAGAGACATACAGTCAGCATAAATAGTTTTTTTATAATTTTGTCATTGCAATTTTAATGAAGTTCTTGTCCTTAAACACTTTCAAAAACCATTTCATAGAATCATGTTCCCCTAGCACTGCCAAGCCTACCACTAAACTATGTCCCCAAGTGCCACATCTACATGTCTTTTAAATGCCTCCAGGGATGGTGACTCCACCACTGCCCTGAGCAGCGTGTGCCAGGGCTTGACAATGCTTTCAGTGAAGAAGTTTGTCCTAATATCCAATCTAAACCTCCCCTGGCATAACTTGAGGCCATTTCCTCTCATCCTATCACTGGATACTTGGGAAAAGAAACCAACACCCACCTCACTATAAACTCCTTTTGGTAGTTTTAGAGAGTGAGAAGGTCCCCCTGAGCCTATTTTTCGCTAGATTAAACACCCCCAGTTCCCTCAGCTGCTCCTAAGACTTGTACTCTACACCCTTCACCAGCTTCATTGTTGCACTTTGGACATGCCGCAGCACCTCAAATGTCTTTCTTGTAGCAAGTGGCCCAAAACTAAACACAGTATTTTAAGTTGTTTTTGAAGAGTTACATAGTAGGATAATATATCATTATTTGACATTTGCAAGGTAGTGTATTGGGTTTGTGTGACAAGGTTTTGGTAGCAGGGGGAGCTATAGAGGTGGCTTCTGTGAGGAACTGCTAAAGCTTCCCCTATGTCCTATGGAGTCAATGCCAGCTGGCTCCAAGACAGACCTGCCACTGGCCAAGACAGAGCCCATCAGTCATGGTGGTAGTGCCTCTGGGATAACAAATTTAAGAAGGAAAAAAAGTTATTGCACAGAAGCAATTGCAGACAGAGAAGAGACGAGTGAGAATATGTGAGAGCAACAACTCTGCAGACATCAAGGTCAGTGAAGAATGAGGGGGAGGAGATGCTACAGGAGCCAGAACTGAGATTCACCTGCAGTCTGTGGTGATGTACTGGTTTAAAAGTTAACCAACAGGGGAAACCAACCCAACTCAAAAGAGAGATTACAAATCAGAATAACAATTTAATAAAATAATACAATAAGTACGACCACACGGACAAGCAACCGACCCTAACCCACAAAGCCCAAATGTACAACTCAGCACCCCAGGGCACAAACAAAACGGTGCTCCCTGGCCCCCCCCAAGTCCAAAGCAAAGGGAGAGGGGAAAAAACCTGCTGGTGGGAGAACTGCTGCAGTCCGACCAAAGTGGTGATTGCAGTTCAGTTGAGGGTGGTGGTCTCAGTCCGGCTGAGAGCGGTGAGCTGCAGTCTGGCTGAGAGCGGTGAGCTGCAGTCCTCCTCTGGATCCCATGAGAGGTGGAAAGGTTCTGAAACTCCAGGTTTATATATTCTCCAGCTCAGGCAACAATGCTTAGCCCCTCCCTCAGAGCGGGGAATTCCATAAAAGGATACTCAATCCTTCCCTCAGAGTGGGGAATTCCATAAAAGGGTGTGAGGGTGCTCAGTCAGGGAATTCCACAAAAGGGCATGAGGACAGGAGCATGGGGGGGGGGCACCTCGCAGGTCTCTACTGACAACAGTTTCTGGGAAATGGCATGGAGGGCTATAGAATACACAGTTTTGGGCTACACCCATCCAATGATGAATCGGTCCCAGTTGTTCTAACTAGGACATTATCCACCCCTTATTCTATGCCATCCATGTCATGCCCAAATTAACCCCCTTAAAAACTATGTCTCCTTAAAACTATATACACTTATATATATATATGCAATGAAACATTACAGACCATTCTCACTCAAAATTAGGTCCCCTTGTGGTACACAACGTGTCTCCCCATCTTTTTGCATTACCCACCAGGTGGAACCAGGTCCTTGAACAAAAACAATCCCTCGGATGGGTTTGCCTTTACTTGAGGTGGGACTAATCCAAACAGTCTTCCCTAACATTCCTCTCATATGCACCACGGGGACTTTATCTCCATCTACAGTATGCAAAGGTTCTGATTGGGCAGGGCCAGTTCGATTGATGGAACCTCGGGTGTTGACCAACCAGGTGGCCTTTGCTAAATGCAGCTCCCAGTGTTTGAGATTCTTCCCACACAGTGCCTTCACGGTGGTTTTCAGCAGTCCGTTGCACCGCTCAACTTTTCCAGTTGCTGGTACATGGTAGGGGATATGATACACCCACTCAATGCCGTGCTCTTTGGCCCAGGTGTCTACGAGGCCATTCTTGAAATGGGTCCCATTATCAGACTCAATTCTCTCCAGGGTGCCGTGTCGCCACAGGACTTGTTTTTCGAGGCCCAGGATGGTATTCCGGGCAGTGGCATGAGGCACGGGGTATGTCTCCAACCATCCAGTACTTCCTTCTACCATGGTCAGTACGTAGCACTTGCCTTGGTGGGTTCTGGGGAGTGTGATGTAGTCAACTTGCCAGGCTTCCCCATACCTGTACTTCGACCATCGTCCACCATACCATAGAGGCTTCACCCACTTGGCCTGTTTGATGGCAGCACATGTCTCACAGTCATGGATGACCTGTGAGACAACGTCCTTGGTTAAGTCCACCCCTCGGTCACGAGCCCATCTGTATGTTGCATCTCTCCCCTGGTGACCGGAGGCGTCATGGGCCCATCTAGCCAGAAATAATTCTCCTTTGTGCTACCAATCCAGATCTACCTGAGAGACTTTAATCCTGGCAGCTCGGTCCGCCTGCTCGTTGTTACGATGCTCCTCATTAACCTGTTTCTTGCGTACATGAGCATCTACGTGACCGACTTTCACACTCAGTTTCTCTACCCGGCCAGCGATGTCCTGCCACATCTCTGCCGCCCAGATGGGTTTCCCTTGGCACTGCCAGTTGGCCTTTTTCCATTGCTCCAACCATCCCCACAGAGCATTGACCACCATCCATGAGTCAGTGTAGAGATAGAGTCTTGGTCACTTCTCTCGTTCAACTGTATCCAAAGCCAACTGAACGGCTTCAAGCTCTGCAAACTGACTTGACCCGCCTTGTCCTTCGGTCACTTCTGCAACTCGCCGTGTGGGACTCCATACAGCTGCCTTCCATTTTCGGTTTGTCCCTACAATGCGACAGGAACCATCCGTGAAGAGCGCATATCGCCTTTCATCTGCTGGTAGCTTGTCATATGGTGGGACCTCCTCAGCCCGTGTCACCTGTTCCTCTTCTTCTTCAGAGGATAGTCCAAAACTCTCACCTTCGGACCAATTGGTGATAATTTCCAGGATCCCAGGGCGATTAGGATTCCCTATCCGGGTTCGCTGTGTGATCAGAGCGATCCACATACTCCATGTGGCATTGGTGGCATGATGTGTAGAAGGAACTCTTGCCTTGAACATCCAGCCCAGCACTGGTAGTCGGGGTGCCAGGAGGAACTGCACTTCGGTGCCGATCACTTCTGAGGCAGCTCGAACTCCTTCATAAGCAGCCAGGATC